TTATTCGTTCCTTTTGCCCTAACCGGAAAAGCGATATCTGTGGGCCCCTCGATGATTTGGTGTTGACTTCTGTGTTGGGCCCAGCCAGGACTAAATTGATGTGTTCAATTAGAAGTCCTACATCATCACAAATCAGAAATCGGGAAACATAGATTCTGGACAAAGAAATTGATTACATTCCATGTCTTATGTCTAGGGATATCTAGCAGAACGAAGGATTATATGATCACTTATCTTAGGATACGTAACTGACTGGGTCAGAGTTCGACAGCAGCTTTTGGAAGCTACAATTTGCTGGTCAAATTTAGAAGGCATACTAGCAATTATAGTTACAGACTTATCCAAGTGGGAGACTGTTGGATTAGGTGTCTAAGCCCATAACTATAATTGGTATGTACTTGAATTGATAGCAGCACAGTCCTTTTGGGTTGCCCTCAACCTAGCAACTGGACAAGGAAATTATGAAAGGAGAGATATTAATTTATAAGATTAATAAATTAATATAAATGAATTATTAATATGTTAAAAGATTAATATATTAATTAGAAATCATTATGTTTAATTAATAGTTAGCCAGAAATAAATCAGAATTAATTTTGGGGTTAAAAGTATTAATTATAAAGTGCAGGGACTAGTTTGTAATTATCAGATAGTTGACTGGAAGGCTCCAGAACCTCCTTGGAAGGAGGTGGACGAAATCTATAGGGGAAACCCTAAGGATTTCGTCTAAGGGGGCTTTGGATAAGGCCCTTGGGTTTGCTTAGGCCCTAAGCAAAGGAGCATTAGGGTTTTCCCAAAACCCTAGATCCCTCAGCTATATAAGGAGCCTCCCAGCTCTCAAAATCGGTCACCACTTCTGGGAAGAAACCCTAGGCCAAAATTACATACTCTCTCTGCCCTCTTTCCTCCAAGTTTCCTTCTTGCTAGTTCTTGGGTGTGATTCCATTAGAGGCATTACACTTGTGGTGCTAAGCTTCCAAGAAGATCAAGATCAAGATCAAGGGAATTATCAACTGTTTGCTATAACAATTGAAAGGTATGTAACTCCTAAACCCTAGTTTACTATTTTCGAAAATAGCCTCCTCCTCTAGGGTTCTTGTTTTGCAATTCAAAGTTGTATGTTCAATAGTTAAAACATAGATCCAAAGTAGGTTGCATGTGAACTTAGGAATTGTTTTCTGGTTTATTTGTTTTACCTAAAACCCATCAAAAAGTCCCTATATGGGTTGAAACAGGCACTTCGTGCATGGTACCAAAGATTCACAGATTATGTCACCACACTCGGATTTCGACATAGTGCTTGTGATCATTCCTTGTTCATCTACAACCATGGCAGGGATACAACATATCTTCTTTTATATGTTGATGATATAGTTCTTACCACATCATCACCGGCTCTAAAACAACATCTTATGACTCGTCTATCCAATGAGTTTTCCATGAAGGACTTGGGCCACCTTAGCTATTTCTTGGGAATTTCAGTCAAGCGGGACCCAAAAGGTTTATTTTTATCACAACAGAAATATGCCGTCGATATTCTTTTACGGGCAAATATGGCCCAATGTAATCCGGTACATACTCCTGTCGACACAGACGGGAAGCTCAGTAGCACCACAGGGGAATTGATTGCTGATCCCACTATTTATCGCAGTCTTGATAGTGCCTTACAGTATCTCACGTTCACACGTCCATATATTTCATACGCTGTACAACAAATTTGCATGCATATGCATGCTCCACGGACGTCACACATGAATGCTCTAAAACGCATTCTAAGATACATTAAAGGTACAATTGACATGGGATTATACTTGCATCGTAACACGACCTCCACTCTTACTGCTTATACCGATGCTGATTGGGCCGGTTGTCCAGACACACGACGATCTACTTCTGGCTATTGTGTGTTTCTGGGTGACAACTTACTATCATGGTCATCCAAGCGTCAAACGACTGTCTCCCGTTCTAGTGCTGAGGCAGAGTATAGAGGCGTCGCTAACGTTGTTGCAGAGGTTTGTTGGCTTAGAAACCTCCTTCTTGAACTTGGTCACCACCCGACACGCACGTCTCTAGTTTATTGTGACAACGTCAGCTCCATTTACATGTCGGGAAATCCAATTCAACATCAACGAACCAAACACATTGAAATTGATATACATTCGTACGAGAGAAGGTTCAACGCGGTCATATCAGGGTTTTACATGTCGCATCTCGCTACCAAATAGCTGATATATTCACCAAAGGGATACCACGAGTACTTTTTAACGACTTCAGATCCAGTCTAAGCATCCGTCATCCTCCTCCTTAGACTGAAGGGGTATATTAGACTAGGAAATTCATTATTGTAAACTATGTGGTACCAAAGTGTAAATTGTGTATCTATATATACATATTATTAATGCAATATACGGAGAGAGTTTTTTGGCCAAATTCCATTACATACTTTCTGGGGATTGAAATTGTCAAACAAGGACTAGATCTTCTTCTATATCAGAAAAAGTATATTCTTGAATTATTGGAACGAGCTGGCTTATCCAATGCTAAACCTGTTCCAACGCCCCTCACCACCTCAGCAAACCTGTCTCTTGGTGATAGTCCCCAGTTTGATGATCCGGTTAAATATCGTCAAATGGTTGGAGCACTACAGTATGTCACCTTATCACGTCCTGATCTCACCTTTGCAGTTAATAAAGTCTGCTAGTTCATGCATTCCCCAACTCAAAATCATTGGTCTGCAGTTAAACAGATTCTTCGCTATTTGCAAGGTACTATCTCATATGGTTTACTGATTAAACATGACTCTGCTCCCACTCTACATGCATACACGGATTCCAGCTTTACTCCCTTGCGTGTCTATTCTGATGCGGATTGGGCTGGTTGCCCGGATGACCGCCGATCCACCGGGGGATATGCCATTTATCTTGGTTCTAATCTTGTTTCGTGGTGTGCTCGAAAATAAAAGACTGTCTCGCGGTCATCCACAGAATCTGAATACAAAGCTATGGCTGATACAGTTGTAGAACTCACTTGGCTTCAAACATTATTGCGTGAACTCCATGTTACTACTAGTTCAGCTCCAGTTTTGTGGTGTGACAATTTAGGAGCCACATATTTATCAGCAAACCCTGTCTTCCATGCACGTACAAAACATGTTGAAGTTGACTTTCACTTTGTTCGAGAGAAGGTTGCACGACGACAGCTGACGGTTCAATATATCTCCACAGACGACCAGATTGCAGATGTGTTTACAAAACCCCTGCCCTCAAATCGATTTCTTTTCTTACATGACAAGCTACAGGTCACTACTCGGCCTTAGCTTGAGGGGGGATATTAGACAAGAATATATATATATATATATATATATATATATATATATATATATATATATATATATATATATATATATATATAGGGTTTAAAGTGTAACAATGTGTGTATATATATTGCCTGTAATCATATACAAGCAAATACAATTACCAATTCTATTTAGAACTTATAATATTTAGGTCACACAAATTACTAACTTTACAAAAAATTACAGTTGGACAATTATAAATGGATATGTGTATGTTTACATTACACACTATTTATCATCAATTTGATCTATTTCGTTAAATATGTAGGTATGGTGATCATGGTATTTTAAGCATCTTTTAAGTATACAATTAAATTCGATTTGGTTCGATATTTATGCATCAGTTAGACTGATTTATTAAAAGGAAATATGATAAAATAAATAACAACACACCTAAATAATATGTGATAAGGTTGTGCACAAAATACCTGAAGTAGGAACCAAAGAGAATGTGGGCTAATGGTATCATTTGTGTTATGAATATGTTCCTCATCTAATATCTTGAGGTTTAAGTCGCATGGTGTATAAAATATATTGATTTATGAATATGATTTGTGGGTGTTTGAGTTAGCCATTCTATAAAGAATACCAAAATGGAATATGGTTGACGGTTCTATTTAAAAGACAACTTATTAGAAATTATTACTCCATTAATGAGGCTAGTGTATCTTTGAGAAATTACAAATGATTATTTAATATTGTCAAAGTAATTATATAAAAAATTAGAGTTTAGTTGAGGCTCTAATCCTTTAGGTGTAATAGTGGATGATCACGCAAATATAAAGACATATAACCATTTTTTATATTATTTTTATCCTTGTCATTAAAGATTGCTTGAAGAATTACTAATTATTTTTGTTGAGGATGAGCATCATACACCGATTATAACTTGTCATTGAAATTCCACATAAAAAAGTCGATACAATTAAATTACGGACACATGTATGTTTTGTTTTCTTAACGACTTTATTTTATGGCTGGACCTTTCCAAGAGATGGAGCTATGCATTTGAAGAATAAATTTAAACCTGTGTTATACATAGGTTCATGATCGCTCACTACGGCTACTCGCTTTGCGAGGATAGAGGGTACGTATGGCTCACTCTTTGAGTGATATACTAAGATATCTAAGTACATCAAATATCATATCCCTACCAACTCCCAAAAGACACCCCATGACTAGAGCACTGAAACTCTTATATGGAGACACTAGTGTCTTATTGGTAGGCCACACACAAATTGATTAAACTTGTTGCACATTATTTTAATAATTTAATGTGTAGTGTGATTAAGCTAACGGTATAAGATATTGTTCAAAACTTTTTGAGATCAATGGTTCAAGTATGTAGATTTAAAAGTAGTTTAAGAGCGGAGTAGATTTACGGTTAAAAAAAAATTATTAATGATACGTGGTTCTTTTACATCCATGTTTAACATTTAATTTCTTAATTTCTATGATAAACTGTACATCCATGTTCAACATTTAATTTCTTAATTTATATGATAAACTGACGCTTGTAATCATGGATAACTTATTGTTTAATTAGGAGGACAAATCATCGACCAACTTTCATCACTCCGCAACATGTATAAATTCACACGCGTGCCATATGCTTTCAATTTATCACGAATGGATGTGGCTTTCCTCACGTGAATTGCAATGTCCATACGCCAGTAGGATTGCAATGGACCGTGGATTGAGCGTGGTGGTTATGCCTCCCAATATAGGTTGCTATCACATATCTTGAATCATTTCGATCCCGCTCTACTCTTTTTTTGACCCTGCAGCCTGCCGTGGAGCATTTGTAGTAGTTCCTGTTTATCAGGTCATGTTAACAATAACTCTAGATATTTTGTTATTAACTTGTAGGAAATTAAAAGAATAGGATTCAATAAGAGTAAGCTCAATGATAGGAAATTACTTTGTGCGTAACCCAACATTGGCACTCAAATATTCTTAAAGAAGAATCCTAATGTGCCGACATAGAATAAGTTTTTACAAATCAAAATGGACTCGTTTGATCAAAAGGGTTTTTTGAGTTTAAAAATCAAGTCATTTTTCCTTTCTTATAAACCGTCAACCATTTGTTATTTCTGTAGAACTATTACCATTGCTGTAGAAAATTCTAAAATATATACAGCTTGTCGTAAATAAGCTAGCAGCCCCTCTGTACTATGTCTTCCAAGTAATTTTCTAGGTTTTTCTATGGATATATATATTGATCATAACGCTTACATTGTCAAGCAATAATGATACATCAGTTCACTACCAAGAATAATACAAGATAAATCACATATCGGTACTTTAATTACAATGTAAAACCAAGATGGCCACATTACTATGCTTTTTCTATTCCTATACACTTTCATATTTCTTAATATTTTTAAAATAGATAGATAATGATTTAACCAAACAAAAACCTATGGTCTAAAACCTCATCCATGGACTGAAAATGACACTCTTGTATTCGAACAAATTTTATTGCCTGCCATGCACGACATAATTTTTTTTAATACCACGTCCTCTCGTTTGTTTATCATATCGTGTTATTCTTTCAGAATTGATATTATGTCTTTTTTATTGAGATTTATTGCAAGTTGGCTATATTTTGATTAACGTTGTTTAAAATCAATTAATTATCAAAATGTTTACTTTAGTTTCTAATAATTATCTATAATCACTTGCACATTCTTTTGGAGCGTAAAATAATCAATGGTTACAGGTTCGAGTTGTTACAAAATGACAGTGAGTTATGAAAACATTAACATTCATCCTCAAATTGCATTTTATCTTATTTTCAATTTTAGGTTTTGGTAAAGGATGATTCTATTCATACCCTCTCTTATATAAGATAGTAGGATAGGATTGTGTGGTAAATATTGAGATGAAGAGTCTAATCCAAATGAAGAAGAATTTCAAAGGGCTAATCATTTCGAAAACCATTGTTTAGGCTCCGTCTTATAAAAAAAGGTCTCAACTTCGGCCTTGAGTGAAGTTCAAAGTTAGTCTCAATGAAGATTGGAGATTTCTAGAAGAATCAAAGTCTAAGCAAAAGTGCAATCTTAACTAGAAGTTATGAAGTAGAATCTCAGCTTTGATATTGTTCGTACAATCTTAGAGAACAACTTGTGACTTTATGAGAGCCTATTAATGGTCCGTTGGACCATCCTCCAAATCTAGGTCAATGCTACCATAGATACATCTCATTTATTGTAACTCTAGGTCAATTCTACTATAAATACATATCATTTATTGTAACTCTACGCTAGCCTATATTGTTAGGTACTAAAGATATGCAACTAAGATTTTATAAAGAATGGTTTGTTGGTAGTTTCCCCATTGTTGGTCTTGACTTTGGAGCTAGTGTTGACCGGAGTGGCAACGAGTTTGTAATGTTACATATTTCTACATTGTATTATATCCTATGTGTACTTTTGTTGGGTAATGAACATAGTCTTTAAGGTATAATTTACTGAAATTCCCAAGAAGTAAGCTAAAGGGCTTGAATTCCTCATCTCAAATTCATTCTCTAGTGTATTGGTGCTCTAGGTTTTAAAAGTTATAGATGAAGTAGTGAAAACTGTAAGATATACGTGGATTCACGTATTCAAAATAGAAAGTGGAGACTTCAACATATATAAAGACATAAAGGCATGTGTCACACCAATGTAGGATACACAAACACTTGCCTTCAATGTCTGAAGCTTGATGAGGATAAACATGGATGTGTTGAGCCATGATGGTGCATGACACCGAATCTGGTACCATGTAAACATATTTGGAGTCCAAGATTGTCTCTCCAAACGAGCCCTTATGGAGAGAAGCGAGACTCTAATATATATAGAGACATAAGGGATTATGTCGTGCTGATGTGGGATGTACTAACAATACTAATGCACCAGATCCCATCTAAACTCTAAGGGTCCCATCATACTAGCACTAATGCACCATCCCATCAGAACTCTACAGTTAAACATGCTTGGGCAAGAGTAGTACTAGGATGGGATACCGCTAAGAATTCAACGTGTCGACCAAGTATATGATACAGTAACATAAGTGAAGTCCAATATTGTCTCTCTAAAAGAGCCCTTATGGAGAGAAAGGACACTCCAACATATATATGGACATAAGGGATCTTGTCGCACTGATATGGGATACACTAACACTCCCCAAAAGAGACAGAGGCTCGATGAGTCAAACAAGGATGTGTCAGCCCATGGGGGTGTGTGATACCGACTCTATACCGTGTAAGATATATATGGAGTCTTGTAATAACTCTAAAAAAGAGTCCTTATAGAGAGCGGGGAGACTCTAACATATATAGAGACGTAATGAAGCGTGTTGCACCAATATGGTATACACTTATAACAAGAACATCGTTGTCAATATATAGAATAATGCAAGGAATGTATTTATCATGGTTGTCGGTAAAGAAGGATATGTCACTTTTACTACATGTAAAAGGTGAATTAGATGATTGGAAAATTACTATTACCAAGCCTACTAGAATTCATATCCATGTAACACGAGTTTTCTAGTAGTTGGAGTTGTATAATATGGTAGGGAGCCTTGATTTTGGTGGGTATCATAGAAGTACCATACGTACATGCAGTGTTGATGGTGAAACATGTATGTAGAGATAGGTGTCGCTAAAGCTAATGGTTTGGGTAAGGATCAAGGATACTCGACTATTGGTTCAATGGTGTCATAAATAATGATCATGATATGAGCTCCATGGGCATTACAGACATGATCTAGATATCAGGGTAGTCTACAAGTTAGGGGGGGGGGGGGGCGTGGGGGTATGAGGACCGACCATGTTCATGGTTGTTTCTACATTTAGGAATTGCATAGCCACTACGATATCCACCATGTTGGTTGACACAATAATTAGTGTTGGGAGAGTCATGGTGGGGAGGAGGTTTGGGAGACGAGTTTTTTGTTATCAGTTCATTAAAGGGAAGTGTATGTTTAGTGTGAGATTCTTGTAACTATGTTATATTTTTCCAAAATCAGTTTAGAGTGGACTTTATGTAAGCTGGAAAGTGAACCAAACTATTGCATGACATAAGTGATTGGGTCAAAATTTGGGTTTCTTATATTTGTGAGTTTGTCTGGTGGGGGTTTTAGTTAAGTATATTAATCTTACATATTAGAGAAAGATTTGAGATGAGGGTGTTGAATTGTTCTTCTATATAAAACATATAAGTAATTTTGTCTCTTTGAAAAGTTCTTAGATAGAGGCCCATGTTTCACGATAGTTTAAGCTAACTTTATGGAAATTGTATTATTGATCCATTATTTGACAATGGTATCATGGAACTTCCAGTAGGTTGAAGGGTGTCGTTATCGGTATCGTCTAGGACATGGTAGACACAAAAATATATAGGGAAAAGTTCCACCATAAAGTATAATGGTCCTCATTTTGATCATGAAGAAGGGGTATTGAGTTTTAACATTGTTGAAAATGAACATGTCATGTGAAGTGGCCTTATTGGTGTATGTTCTAATTTTATTGGGTTCTACAATGGTCGTTGACAATAAGTAGGGGAGAAAAGAACACATACATATGAAAGGATGAAAAAGTAGATGAAAACAAGAAGAGAGCTATATTGTAATAAGCTAACTTTTTGATGGGTTCTACCATGGTTATGAGTGACTAAATTTATATTATGTCAAATATCTTAGTAGTTTCATCAAACACTATATTGCAATAAGTTATCTTATACACGTGATACCTATCTCATGTAACATTTACATAGTGTTTTCTTGGAACTAGGCATTTCATATAGTTGGATGATTTAAAATAATATATTTATATCTTATAAAAGAGGTTATTCAAAATGACTAAAAACTATTCCTTTTCGATTATGATAACTTTTTACATACCAATTATTGTTTTAAAGTAAGATAAATTTGATTTTATGTAACTTTTATAGTTAAAATTGATTTTTAATATTATTTGTAACTGTTATAACTGAATTAACTTAAAACCATTTATTTAGATATTTTTTCACTAATTATATAAACATACTTAAAATATTTAAGCATTTAATTATTTTAAAAATAGCTTTAAACATATTTTAGTTGATTTGAAAACCTTGCCATCATATTTAACATCAAGATCAAGCTTAAAAGTGACGAATCAAAGTATATAGTAGGTTGCAAATTGAAAGATGTTGCATTAAAATATGATGTTTTATTTTATATTGTTAAAATTTAGGTTAACTATTTTGTACAATCTTAAACAAAAATATCGGATTTCAATTGATCTAATATAACTATAATTAAAGTATTATTATTTGAAAATCATATTTAGTTTTATTAATGCACTACTCATAAACCAAACAAATATCTAAAATTGTTATGCAAAAACTAAAAATATACAAATAAGTAGTTTGTGAATTAATTGAAAATAATATTAATTTGAAGCATTGGCTAGTCCGTTGAATTTAAGAACCCCATGAAAAGTGAAAATAGACTCTAATTATAATAATTTTTATATATAAGGAAAATTCATTAATCTTAATATAAGTTGATAATTGTTATAAAAATAATCAAAACAAAACAACTTAACGAAAATACAATATATAATCTTAAATAATTAGAGGTAGCATGAGGAAAACACAAAAAATACATCGATGAATAGTTGGAATTGTGATCGTTGATTACCTGATTCCAAATTTACCGACCAAGAGTACGAGTTTAATCAAAATAATGGTCTCAATTAACAATTGCTTAGGCCCTGTTTGATGTGTGTTTGACCGAGTCAAGTCAGACATTTTTGGCTGACTCGGTCATCTAAAGTTGTTTG